GGTGGACAAGATGCAGGAGGTGAGTGAACACTAGCTGTCGGAGAAAATACTGAGCTGCTGCCTATCCTCTACACACTCTCCTTTTCTAATTTCTCTGGCTCATCATAGTCATAGATACGTAGCTCCTGAGCCAGAGGTTAATGTGTTATGTCTGCAGAGGTGGGGGAACCAGAGTTAGCATGACCAGATTCATCACTGCCTTATCACTGAAACCAACAACAGAGGACACAGCTTTGGTACTCCGCTCTGATGACCACACAACTGCTGTGCTCTTTCTTAGTTTCTTTTTCGGCGGCACCAAGAAGGTATAACATTTGAACTATCTATGTCAAAAGTAATGGTGAAGACAGTGGTGGCTGAGGTGTCAGCAGTCTTCATGGTGGTTCCACCTCTGAGAAATCATGGCGATACTGCTGATGGTAGATTGGGAAACAATCCCCTAGCTTAGTTTAATTTGAGTTGGGGTAGTACTGACATTGATGATTCTGATCATGGCTAGGCAAAACATTTTTATCCTGACACCACAGTCGACAAAAATAGATTTTCATTCCTCCAAACTGTAAAAAAAATGCTTTTAAAAATGCTGTATTGGTAAAATAGTCTCACACTAGGATAAATGACATAATGCCAGTCAAATGCCAATCTCCTGCCTCCCATTTAAATGTTTTCTGTAGGGCTCCTGGCTTTACTAGCTGCTAGATACAGCATAAATACAAAGATAATATTACACTAGAATCAATGACCCAGACTAATAGGCAAAAGTATTTTTTCCTGACATGACATTGCTCAAAGGAAATGTTTTTATTCTCCTAATCCATTGACAAAAACAAAATAAAATACATATAATTTTTAACGACTGTATACTTGTAAAATAGACTCACACTAGGAGGAATGAAAACTTTCTGGCAAGTTCCAATCTCCTATCTCCAACTCAAAGTTGTCTGGCAGCGTGTATTGGTACTGGTGTGCGCATGTCTGATATTGTGTAGTGCAGGGATTCCCAATAGGTAGATTCCCATATGTGGTACAACTCCCATGATGCTTTGCATTCATTTAGAATGACAAAGTATTGTGGGAGTTATAGTTCGGTAACATCTGTCGATCTACCTATTGGGCAGTCCTGGTGCAGAGTATAAGTGCGTTAGAGTGTGTGTCTGGTAGAGAGTATCCTTGTGCATCAGTGAGTGTATATCTGTGTGTATGTGCCTATAATGCATATCTAGGTCTTTGTGTGTCTGTGTATCTCTGTGTCTGGGAGCACATGTATCTGTGTATGGGAGCGTATGTGTGGTGTGAGCTGCTTGCCGTGTGTTACTGTATTACACAATTGTATTTTCTTCTCTGCTTATGGCTGTATCTCCATACTACTGATTTTATATATATATATATATATATATACACACACACACACACAAACACACACACACACATATATATATATATATATATATATATATATATATATATATATATATATATATATAGTGTTTAGGGAAGGAAACACACCAAAAGTTAAGTATAAATCTGGTGGTAGCTGTGACACTATATCTGTATATATATTGTTTAGTGTATTATGTGTATAGGGTAGTGCTGTGGTTTTTCTATGTGTGTTGTGTGTGTGTGAGGGATTGTGAGTATGAGGTTTACTGTGTGTGGAGCCTGTACCTGTGACTGTGCCTAAGGGTGACTGTGTGTCTATGAGGGTTACTGTGGCAGAGTAGTTGTGACAGAGCGAGTGTGGCAGGGTGACAGACTGTAACAGAGTGAGTAAAGATAAAGGAACAGTATACAAAAAAATACAGTTTTAAATATTACAAGACTACTTAAAGGGACACTATTGCTTTAGCTTAATGTAGCAGTTTTGGTGTATAGCTCATGGCCCTGTGGTCTCACAGCTCAATTCTTTGCCATTTAGGAGTTAAATCACTTTGTTTATGCACCCTAGTCACACCTCCCTGCATGTGACTTACGCAGCCTTCATAAACACTTCCTGTAAAGAGTCAACTAATAATTATCCTTCCTTTATTGCAAATTTTGTTTAACTTAGAATGTATTTTTTTTCAACTCTGTTAATAACTTGCTAGACCCTGCAGGACCCTCCTGTATGTAATTAAAGTTTGGTGTGTTTTTTTTAAATGCAGGCTGTCAGTCACAGCAGGAGAGGTGTGGCTAGGGCTGCATAAACAGAAACAAAGTGATTTAACTCCTAAATGGAAGATAATTGAGCAGTGAGACTTCAGAGACATGATCTATACACAAACAGTGCTTCATTACTATATTATTAGTATTATATTAATATAGTGTCTTGTTAACTAGTCTTGTAAAATGTAAAACTGTAATCACCTATCTTAGTAAACAAATATAGGGATTCAGAACACTCTAAGCTATGGTAAGACCAGCATGGTGAGGGAATAAAGATAAGTATTTTTTTTTTTTTACAGAGGGGCCTAGGAGAACACTATAACATTATAAATACACATTTGAATATCTAATGTTAGCGTATTGCTTTAAGCTACAGCAAAAACTAACTTTTTTTTCAACAATCGAGCTTCTGCAAAAAATGTTATGACTGGATAGATTACGATGATGATGATAGATTTATTGAAAGCCCCATACCAAAAAATAATGGTAATCATCAGTCACATGCTGTAACAGACAGTCTTCATTTTCCTAGCCATAACTGATCAGTTCTACTTCATCTCTGTTTTTCAGGAACTGCACGTTCATCTATGAGTTACGTATAGATCATATTGGGAAATGGACAAGTCAATGACAGTCATCATCACCAACAGCATGGCCATGGTATATCCCTTAACAGAGATGTTGATTTCAGTGTAATGATTCTATCTCTTTATATGAAGGTTTGCCGCAGTAGCCCTCATACCTGCTAAGAGTAACTGCAGTGACTTGCCTTGTTTTGCAGAGCTCTTTTTTCTCTTTGTCCTATCTTGTAATATTTGTTTATCTGATTATCTGTTTTGTGTTGAGAATTCGTTTTCCACAATATCCAATAGACACTGGAAAAATTTCTATCTTACAACCATCAAACCATATATAAACTATATAATGTCATTATATGTTTATATTTTACATTGTTCAACAAGGGAGTATATATGCATTAATAACTTCAACTCTATATGAAATAACTATGAAGGGCTGTGATGATTATGTTGTGATTGTGGGATAGATCTCCGAGGACTAATATTGGGAAGTAATAACTACACCAACGAATAGTTTAATGTAATTAAGAAATATTAAGGACAACAAAATCTATATTCACATACATATGGCTAATATCTTGGTCTATCGAGTACAAATCAATATATTTTATATCACTGGGTGTTCTGCACAATTTTCAAATTTCGAATTGAACAATTCCCAAATTACAGACTAACCAAAACAAGACATTCTAAACATGGAGGGTTCAATATTCCAAATTTCCACCAGTGCTGCCCCCAAACATATTGATGATTGATGGGAAAAAAAGTTGATTGATGCTTAGGGGTCAGTCCCTAAATGTTGAATTTATTTACAGATCATGTGAGAAATGAGCAATACAGGGAAAAACAAGATCAACAGTAGAAAAAAACACAACAACTATATTTATGTATTGTATATCTAATAAAAATATTATATAATTGTAGGGTTTTTTTTTACTGCCCTTCCAGTTTTCCCATCAATTAGTTACTTCTTCTCAGCTGACCTGTAAACCAAATGGCAGGAATATATATTCAGCCAAGTCAAACTGAAATACGACCAAATTTCAAATGTCCAATAAAATTTTCTATCTTCGGAAGAAAAAAAAAAAATTATTTGTCAGAACCTACATATCTTGCTGTGCACAAGTCAAATGTGTATTGGCATTGTTTAATATTCTAGTTGATTCTATGGTTTAAAATTACATAGAGACTTAATTATTATGATAATACACTTTAATAAAATCGCTCTCAGTAGAACCATTTATAGTTAGCCTAAGAAATAGTACATTTTAGATTGAGAATACAGTATATTTAGCTTCACTTATCAGATTTTGTGTATAGTAATGCACTGGAATACTGACCTCAATTCAATCAAGTCTACTTATTCCTACAATTAGTGCCAGTACTGTCAATTGTCATATCGTTTCAGGAAAGCATATGTCGAGGTCAATTTACTCTAAAGTGTAATATTTTTAATATTTCTAGATAAATAAAGACAGCATAATTAATTATCTCCTTAGCTTTCATCTGCTAAATCCAAAATTACCCGCACAAGGACTCAGCTATACTTCTGCTGCTGCTGTAACTTTTTGCCAAACAATAAAAGAGTTTTAATAGCTCAGCTTACACAGCTTTGACTCCTCTATAACAACTTATACAACTGTTTTCATAGCAAGTTATCAAAATTGTTATTACTTTCCTAATTACCAATTGCAGTGAATGTGTCTGATTTTAGCATTAAAGTTTCTAAGGAGTTAATACTATGAGATCAAAAATATCCTTCATGATTTAAACTCGTTTAGAAAACCAATATATAGTGTGTTGTTCAAATACAAATAGGTATTTTTTTGTATTTGGTTTGACTATATGTGTTCATATTATGCATACAACATTATAACATAAGATGATATATCTTACAAAATTTTAGCAAGATAGATGTATTGAAAAGTATAACTACAACTAAAATAATAATTTGGCAAAAAAGTATGCTACATCGAACATCAATGTAAGTGGTATATAACTTCACCTAGAGAAATCATATCACAGCAATACACAGACATAGAGTCATTCACTTAGTCAAGTGGATGCTTGGCAGTATATATTGCCATTTAAAATGCAAAATTCAGACATTGCCAAAAAATATCAATTTGCATCATGAGTGGGCAATGTGGTAAGAGGACATAGTAAAAAAGTACAGTCTGGGTGGCAGAGCCTGGCATCCAGACTGAGTGGTTGTGCTGTACTTCAGCTCCCGTAATTCCCCCAAAAAACGGCACAATCGCCCACTGGAGCGAAGCTACAATGACAGGGACCCCTACAACATACCCTGAGGCCTGCCTGCCTGCGCTGACTGACCTGGACATGCATTCCTCGGGGTCACCATCTCCTACCCCGCCCCCTGGACCGATGAGGGTCATCTCCGTCCACAACAAGCTAAAAGAGGGGCAGTCACAGGCGGATCATACAGCTTGCTACACTTCAGCACAAGGGCAGCCGAGCACGTGGGGCACCCAAAATGGCCCCGGCAGTCACACCATGCAAGCTACACAGCGCACCCGAACCGGAGACCCACAAGGAAGTTATGTAACGTCTCGAGGCTGCCTTCACCCGGTTCTGGCACGACCTATGTGAGCGGCTGCACGCACCCCAGCAAACCCTCCTGGGACCGAGTGAGCCCCAACATCCCCATGGTGAAAAGAACAAGGCACCACAATACAGGCGGGCGGGGTGCAGGAGAGGAGTCAAGAGTGGAGAGAAGGGGCGCCCTGCACCGGGCAGGTCTATAGCCTTCAAGCCATCGACCCGACAAATGCCGAGCAGGCAGGGAATACACCGCCGCAGGCGGCGACTTCATAACAGGAACACCAGTTGTCCCCTGCTTCAAAGAGACCTGGCCTCGAAGCAGAGGGCCCGAGCTTGTGGACTCTCTAAGCTGGATATGCTTACCTACCACACTGATTGCCCAACCGGGGTGAAGACATACAGATACACAGACACATATGTATAAGTGTGTGTCTGTGTGTGTTTGTATAGTGAATGCAGTGTGTGTTTGTATAGTGACTGTAGTGTGTTTGTGTAGTGGATGCAGTGTGTGCTTGTATAGTGGATAATGGTGTGAGGGAGGGGGTGATGGTGAGAGGAGGGTGTGATGGTGAGAAGGTAGGGGTGATGGTGAGAAGGAGGGGGTGATGGTGAGAGGGGGGGTGATGATGAAAGGAGAGGGGTGATGGTGAGAGGGAGGGTGATGGTGAGAGGAAGAGGGTGATGATGAGAAGGAGGGGGTGATAAAAAGGAGGGGAGCGATGGTGAGAAAGAGGGGGTGATGATGAGAGGGAGGCGGGTGATGATGAGAGGGAGGAGGTGAGGATGAGAGGGAGAGTGTGATGGTGTGAGGGAGGGGGGTGATGATGAGAGGGGGGTGATGTGAGAGGGAGGTGATGGTGTGAAGGAGGGGGTGATGTGAGAGGGAGGGGGGTGTTGGTGAAGGAGGGGGGGGAGATGGTGTGAGGGAGGGGGGACAGACTAAATACCTTAATTCCCTGGTGGTCCAGTGGACTCCCTGGTGGTCCGGTGATGATATCTGATTTGCAGCTCTGCAGAGTTGCAGACCATGAATCTCATGAGACCCAGTCAGAGCATTGCCGTGGTAATCTGCAGCAACGCTCTGATCAGATCTTGCGAGACACATGGTCTGCAGCTCTGCACACTGCAAGGGCGCAGTAGGGGCAATCTACCCGACTGCATATCTAGCAAGCTGCCGCACCCCCTCCTGGTGTCCGGTCCTCAGTCAGTGACCCAGGACCCGACAAAGTCTGCACCGAACACCCGCCTAATGAATACGCCACTGCTTCAAAGGGACTCCTTTCCACACCATATAAGGATACTTTGTGCTGTTTGTCACACTAGGCTGCACCTTTTGTACCCTATATTAAAGCACTTTGTGTGGATTGCTGTGGACAGTCGGTATTTCAGTATAGGGTCAAACAGTACATTCAGTGTGTAGCAAATAGCATGAAGAGCACACATACACAGACACGCAGGTACACACATGCAGTGAGATAGATGTGGATAACACACACATATTTAGTGTGCATATGGTGTTTTTTTGTGTGCTGAATGTGATCTTGGTTTTCAATCTGTAATTTTCCAGTGTATATCCTAACTCTCTGATTAAATCTTTGAGCATATTGATTTTTTTGTGTGTGCGTTACTTAAATTTGAGTCTACATCAATATTTTTCTTCTTCAGGAAACTCACACTGCAAGACCTAGAAAACACCAAGGCAGAACACATGAAGCTATCCACCCTAATTTCATGCATATCAAGCAACCACCTTGAAGCTAAGGAAGGTCCCAGAAGAGCAGATATGAAATATTGCTGTCTAAGAAGAAGAATGGTATAGGCAGCAGGAAAATATGCCTGTCAGTAACTGTCAAGACAAACTGTTCCAGATCTCTAACTGAAGAAACTTGAAGGAGATTACTGGACCATAAGCTGGATGGACTTCACAAAATACAGACACCTCCTTATATATGTTAATTAAATACCTGAAGTGAGATAATTAAATATCATAGATAGGGAAAAGACAAAGACAGAACTAGAATACATAGTAACTGGTTTAACTGGTCAATGATTTGGAGCATGAAACAGACTGAATATAAACTGGACAACCCAGGTTCTTAAATACACAAATCAGAATAAACAATATAACATTCCAAGACACCACACAAGATGATACTAACAAATGTTCTTAATGGCTTACTAATTTTTCCCTCTGCTGTGTGACAGCTGAGATATGTAGGCTTATGTCATAGATCATAGTGGCAAATAATGGAGCTCACTGCTTTTTCTACAACTTGAGCTCCAGATATGTTCCTATGCATCTGTAATTTAAATCAATGCAGTACAGTGTGCCAAAACACCCTTAAAGGAACACGTCAGGCGTTCTAGCCAATTTAGTTCACTTGGAGTGCACTGGTATACACCATTGTAGGTATTCAAACTGTTCTAGGACAATTTGATTTACCTGGTACCATCATAGTGCTTGGAGTATTCATTTAACCTTTGTGCATCAAGTATGCCTGAAACCTGATGCTTGTCGATGCCAATCCTGCTTGCCTGTCTTCATGTGTCCTTGTAAAAACTACAATATTTTCAGAAGGGTGTTTTTCATGGAAATGTCTCTTTTATTTACTTTAGATTGTAGATTTTGTATAGTTTGTTCCCAGTGGAGTAGCTGAGACATTTTCGTCAGTCATTTCTCTTGAGAAAACACTTTGCTTCTCTAAGATTCTGAATAAAAACTATGAAAAGGGAAATATCATCTATATTGAATAGAAATGACAGGCATTGATTTAGGTGTGAAAAACTGGACCTGCTGAATACTTACATTGCCGATATCAGTTTGTTAAAAGGTAAATAAGCCCGAGGGTTCTGATTTTGTTTCAGCTTTTTTCTGTTCTTTTATCTGCCCATGCAGTAAGTCTTCCCTAGCATTTCTTCTTCACCCCTTAATACCTCCATTTACTTCACTTTTACTTTTTTCATATTTCACTTATTTAATAACCAGGTTTTTTTGTTGTTGGAATTATAAGGTAATACTTTTTATTATAGTGATTTTGAATGATCATAATCACCATGTTTGATCTGCTTTGCTGTTCCACTACCTTTTCTCTACTTAAAGGAAAACTATAGTATCACTACAGTGTCAGGAATACAAATGTATACCTGATACTACAGTGTTAAACTATTGTTTAGGTCCTTGGCTCCCATTACATCAAAGTAAAAAAAAGGATTAGACTTTTCTCCCAAGTCTCTTTGCAGCTGGTCCCGCTTCCATGACTGAGATCATCAATCTCAATGATCTCAGTCAATCCAATGCTTTCCCATAGGAAAGTATTGGGTGGTTATGGCGCATGGGCGACAATCAATGCATCTCTCTGGTGAACATTAATGCAGAGCACGGAGACGCTGAACATACTAGGTGCTGCATGTTGTGCAGCATTGACACAGGAAACACCTCTAGTGGCAATCTTAATGACTGACACTAGAGTTGTCCCTAGGCATTAATGTAAACACTGCCTTTTCTCTGAAAAGGCTATTTACAGTGCTCAGTCTGCAGGGACATTCTATAGACAACAAAACCACAACATTAACCTCTTAAGGACACAGCTTCAGAAGCTTTACCTACCCTTAAGGACACAAGCAGTTTTTGCAATTTTTGCTGTTTGCGTTCAACCGCAATTTGCATTTCTCTCATTTATTGCACCAACACATATTATATAATGTTTTTTAGAGGTCAAAAAGAGCTTTCATTTAAGGTCACATATCCATATATAAATTCTTATTAATTATGGAGGAGCCTGCTCACAGACTATGGGCCCTACAGGGAAACCTGTGAAAGACTGTTTATATGGCTTGACTCATGTAATTTCCCTATACCGTTTGGGAACCGAACAACCGCATGAACCAGGGACCACCCGGGAGCTTGTTAACCCCTATTAACACCTTGGAACAGTTCTCATCTCAGTGTTCTAATTGTTCGTGTGGGTGGTCACAATTTGTATGAACCGCCACAAGGTGGCGGCAATCTTGTTCACATGAACGCAGGCAGCAGTGTTTGGTTGTCGAGTTCATGGAACTAAAATCGGACATGGAAACTCCTGAACACCACTGGACTTCCATAATCACCTGCGTTCGGTTCTATTGATCCTAGAAGAACACTGTATGGTGGAATCATTCGTCTGGATAAGGGGAACAAGCTCCATGGTTCAAATAGAGACTACCTTCTGTATTATATTTGTCTTTTTGTTACCGAAGTTGACCGACCGCTAACCCTGATTTCATGGAACTGTTTTGGGCATAGGACCATGTGCGCGGTCAGTCAAATAATTGACTTCCATGAAAAAGTCAAACCCCTAAATTGATCTGGGTGATTTTTGGATATGTTGGTCACCCAGATTTTGGCTATCACTTTTGTAGGGGGATCTGTGTATTTTATGTGTATTTTGGGGTGTTTTATAAATGTTATGTTTTTCTGTACCTGGAGATAATTTAGTTTGTACAGTTCCTGACTCAATTATCTCTAAGGGAAAAGGGGAGGGATTATCCTGTTTGTGTGGGAGTGTCGTGGGTGTGTTTAACTGTATCCATCAATGTATCTGGCCAGATTAAAACATTCCAGCTTGTACTCCAAGAACTATGTGTTGTCTAGTTACTGAGAGGGAAAATGGCTAATCACTACTCCAGCTTGATCCAGTGTGGAGGATTCGTCGCCCAATGCTTAGGAGTGGATAGAGCTAATCTCCTATTCGGCTCCAGGACAGAGAGATTCAAGGACCCCAGTTCCAGATAGGAAGCAGTCCTTTGGCAGAGGTACCCAGCTGGATTACAGGGAGCTCCGTTACACACATATAACAAGATATTTTTAATATGTATTTCGTAAAGCTGGTGTGTGCTATTCCTGTTCAGCTACATCCCCATTGTATGTCTTTGGCATTATTCTGTGAAGCTACAATGGCATTTTCATAGATGGATTTGATGGGCCTATGTCTCATTTTGAAGCACTATAGTAGTTTGACTGTTCAAATAACCCTGCAAAGGTCTTCCATTTGAGAAAGCATACAATCCAG